AAATATTGCGATGCATCGCAATATTTCAAGTATCGTGGTGCATCGTGATAGAATCGCATCGTGACTTCTTTGCCAATACCCACCCCTAGTCAGCAAGGAATAATAATACCTGCAGTAAAGCAAATTCAAATGAAAATTACTCTGAATTTAAAATTTGTTGAACAGTATGTAATGATTTCATATTAAACTACATTTAGAAGTTTGTATTCTGAATATGAGCAGAACTTTCCTTTAAGCTACTCTGTGTGGCTGGAAAAGTTTCCACTCTTCTTCTCTTCTTTCCCTGTAACTTCTCCTCCTTCCAGGAAGCTGGCTGTGTTTGATACGTGGAGCAGGTTAGTCGTCCACGTGGCGATGGACAACACTGTGATCATCGAGGAGATCAGTGAGTGCAGCTCACCCCCCACCCCCCCCCCACCCCCCATGAAGGGTGGACTTTGTTTGTTGACAAGAAATATCTAGTGAATTTTGTCACATTATTGTTTTTCTCATCCTCTTCATTTTTTCTTTTTTTAATCAATATTTATAAAATATGACACATTTTTTCACATTTCACGATTTCAATTTTTATTTTTATTTTACCAAATTGCATTCTTTTGATTTTTTTTTCTTACAGATTTTTTTTTTTCTTGTATTTTTCTTTTTCACACATTTCTTTCAGATTGAGTTTTAGGAATTGCTTTCTTTTTAAATTGTGTTTTAGGAATCACCTTCTGTTCACTTCAAACTCCAATTAAATCCAGCAGACCAATAGCAGTGCTGCTGCAGAGGAAAGCCCGCCCCCAGATTGGAAAAAAAAAAAAGATTCATAAAACCCATTTGAAAAGATTGCAATTTTAATCTGAAAAACAGAAATATGATTTTTTAAATATCAAATCAGCAGAAAAATGTATTTAAATTCGGAATAAGAAAATCTGTAAACATGTTTTTTTTTTAAATAAAGTATAATATAAAAAAAGTTGCCAAAGAAAACAGTAGTTACTCTCAAAACATTAAATCTTTTAAAGTTTAATGTTTAGATCGCATTTTAATGTTCAAAACAGGTTTGTTGTTGGTGTTTCATTGCAAACTTTCACCTTCATGAAAACTTTCATTTCATCAAACTTTACTCTCAGGACTCATTTTAAATAAAAAAAAATAGTTTTGTTTGCATATTATTTGAGGAATTGATTGTTTTACCCACAGAGCGTCTTTGCATGCCGTGGCTGGACCTAGCAGGTGAAGCGGAGGGCGAGGCGGAGGTGAACGGCTGCCTGGAAGGAGCGTGCGCTCTGGCTGAGGAGGAGGCGGCTCTATGGAGGCCGCTGGTCCTGCTCATCCCGCTCAGGCTGGGCCTGAGTGACATTAACGAGGCCTACATTGAAACCCTGAAGGTCAGAAAGCTCCACAGCAGGACTTCTAATCCCACGTTTGATTGCAGGAGTTTGTTTACCATAAAGAGAGAAAATAAACTTTATGATCAAATGGACAGTTTAACTATTTTTTAATCATAAACTTTTGTTTTGAAATCATGAAATCACAGAAGCAGCTTTATTTTTTAACTCCCTGAAGGAAAGCTGCCACCTTAAAGTATTCATACCCCTCTCCCCCTTTTTTTTTTTTTACATTTCTTGATTTTATTGAAATGTATTTTAATTTGGATTTGATAGACAAACACTAATTAGTGCATAATATTTAATTGGAGGTAAAAAGAAAATGCATGTTTTTAACAAAAGAAAAAGAATAATCCAACAAAGTTTGGCACGTTTCTTTTTCTCTGAATTATTAGTTTGTAGAACCGCCTTTTACTACATTTAAGCTTTAAATCTGTTGGTCTTTTAACAGCTTAATTTTTTATTTTTGTTTTATTTTGTTTATTTTTGTTTTATTTTGATTCTATCTAGGACTGAAACAATCGGATTAATCAATTATTGAAATAATCATCAACTAAACTAGTTATCATTTTAGCTTTAGCTGCCAGAGCGATCAACTTAGAACAGGAACTATACCAACATTTTAAATAAATATGTAAATATCTTGCATTTAAGATATAAAAAAAAAAATCTCTTACATTTTTTTATATATTTTTTTTTATAAATGATCAATCTGCTCTATCCAGAACTCCTCAGGTGGAAAAGTTTTAGTTTCCACTAAGTATCTAAATTCTGGAAAAAAATTCTTGTTATTAATTAATAAAAAAAATATATATAAATAAAAAAAATCGACAGATTAATTAGTTTGCTAAATGGCGTTAGTTGCAGCCCTAATTTTATCCTACCACAGAGTATTAGGGCCACGTTAGAGATTTATTTTATTTTTTATTACGACAATAAAGTCGCGACAATGCAGGAATAATGTCGTAATATTACGA